CGCACCCGGAGGCCTGGCCAGGGGTCCCCTGCAGGGTTGTTGTGGTCACAGAAGTGGGCTCAGAGGGGAGTGGCCACGTGGGCCGTGCTGGGTTCAGGGGGGAGTGACAGCACAGGCTCAGGGGCCGGCGGGGTTGTTCACCAAGGGAGGCTGTCGGGGCACAAAAGCTGGTGGCAGAGGGTGTGGTCAGCGTAGCGCTCTGTGTAAACGGCAGCAGACGTGGAAACCTCGGGCACGCGCGTCCACGTGTGTGAGAGTGTAGGGTACACACGAAGTGGAGCGCTCTCGGGCAGGGGTGTTGAGGCCAGAGGACACTTGATACCTTCATCTATACTGTCAGGAGCCCTGGTAGTTAAAGTGCTCGGCTGTGAACAGAAAGGCCAGTGGTTTGAGCTTACCTGCCACTTCAGGGGAAAAAGGTTTGCAGTCTGCTTCCAGGAAGAAGGCAGCGTTGGAAACCCCGTGGGGCGGTTCTCCCTCTGTCCTACAGGGCCGCTGAGAGTGGGAATCGACTTTACGGAAGTGAGGCGTTTTTTTTAATTGTGATTTGAGTGAAAGTTTACAGAGCAAATTCCCTTTGCATAAAGCAGCTCACATACACTGTGTCTCAGGACATTGACTGCAATTTATCCAAATGCAAAAGCTCCCCTCCCACTTACTCCCGATAGTTACCTCTTCCCTGTGTCCTTCCCTCCCGCCCCCTGAGCTGTCTCCCTGTGCATACACGGCCCTTCTGTTCTCCCATGATTGTTCTCTCCAAGGAGTGTATCTACCTCAGGTACATGTTCAGCTCCTATGCCTGTCTTTTGTTTGGCTGGAAGCCACAGGTCTGGGTTCAAGAGTTTGGGTTTTTTTAAGGTTTTTATATTTTTCTATAACATAACGTTTTCATGTGTCATTAACACGATGTAAAGAGCCTGCTGCTGCCGACAGCTCCAGCTTGTGGCGGCCCTGTGTCCACGTAGAGCCGGCCTGGCTTTCCGAAGCACACCACCAGGCCTGTCCAGGGCGCTTCCGGGCAGACGCGCAGCTCCAGCCTCTTGGTCACCACGACAGCCTCACTGTGGTTCTCGATGAGTGATCACTCAGCCCCAGGGTTTTACGGCCCTGGTACGCCAAGTGTCACATCGAAGCCAGAGTGAAACATCAGTGTTTATGTTTGGGCGGCCGCCAAACGCGCTGACCCTGCTTCCGCCCATGACTGCTCCCGCGTAAAGTAAAATACAGTGAGCAGGCTGGCTGGCTGTCACACAGAGCAAAGCGTGTTCCCGGACTCCGTGGGCGCCCCTCCCAGATCGGCAGGTCAGACGAGGCAGCCTGAGACCCGGAGACTGCACTCGGGGCCTTTCTGCTTGTGGCCGTAGGATTAGGGTTGCTGTGGTGGGGTGCCGTCCAGCCAGTTTCCAACTGCCCCACCACGTTTCCTGGGCTGTGGTCTTTGTAAGAGCAGATGAGCAGGCCTGTCTCCCACGGAGCCACTGGGTGGGTTCAAACCAGCGACCTTTCTGTGCTCAGCCAAATGCTTAGCCATTGTACCACCAGAGCTGCTGGGCAGAGGTGGGTTTTCTGTGCAAGGATCATGGTAGGTCCCTGCTGTCACATGACAGGCATCCGCGCTGCTCTCCTGCAGGTGGCTGTTAGATGAAGGTTCTGCACGGTCTGCTGATAGCTAGTGGCACCTGCTAGCTCCGGTGGGGCCTCCCCTTCCCCACACGTCACTTAGCATCGTACTCCAGGCAGGCTCCCTCTCACTGAGCCCACAGTCCAGAGAGAAGACACACTGTAGGGGAGAGGGGAATGGCGTGGGGGGAGAGGGGCGGTGGGGTTGCGCCGGACACCGGCAGCTCGAATTGGTGTTCTGTTGGCAGGTGGTCACCGGGCTGAGGCAGAGGATCCTCAAGCTGGAGCAGCAGTGCAGGGAGAAGGACAACACCATCAGGTGCGGCGGGCGGGCGGGGGCGGGGCTCCTCCCAGGACTCAGCTACACGCACACGCCCCGCGGCAGTCACACCCCACCCTGTCTGTGACTCGTTCCCTCCACGCCTCAGTAAGGAGCAATGCCTCCTGTCCGCCTCTGCTTGGTCTCGGTCCCCACACCTCGTGTGCCCAGCCTCAGTGTGGGCAGCTCTCCATGATGGAGCCCCTGATGGCCGACATGCCCCCCCTGCCCCCTCACTCTTGGGCCGATCCCTGCACTGGCTGTGGGGCGGCCGCCCACGTCTTCCACACCTCACGGTGTTGATCTTAGCGTGGAGGCCCGCTCCTCCGGCTGCTGCCGCGTCCTGTGTCTCCGCTGTGCCATGTTGTGTCTGCCCCGGTTGGTTCCAGCCGGAGCTTGTCAGTCCGCTTGGGGCCCTCCTTCCTTGTGATTCCCTCTGTGTCCAGATGCTGAACTCTGTGCCTGTTCCTGTCTTCCTGTTGGTGCCTTTTTTTTTTTTTTTTTTAATTGTGATTTGGGTGAAAGATAACAGCAAATTAATTTTCCACACAGCAGCTCACATACACTTTGTCTCATGACATTGACTGCAATTTCCCACAATGTAACAGCTCTCCTCCTCCCCATAGTTACCTCTTCCCTGGGTCCTTCCCTCCCATGCACTCCTGCCCCCTGAGCTGTCTCCCTGTGGAAACACAGCCCTTCTATTCTCCCATGATTGTTCTCTCCAGTGAATGTGTATACCTAGTGTAAATGTTCAGCTCATATGCCTGTCTTTTGTTTGGCTGGAAGCCACAGGAGTGAGTTCAATTCCAGACCTGAAGGGCAGCTAGGGGCCAGTCTCAGGGGTTCCATCAGGCTCCATCAGACCAGCAAACCTGGTCCTTTTTTTTTTTTTAAATGATTAAGAGTTTTTTCCACATTGTTCCCCCTCTCTATCCAGGATCTCCTACACAGATCCCCCTCTGTGTAGTTACAGCGGTAACTGGGCACCATTTAGTTCTTCTGGTCTCATAGTTGTATAAGCTGAAAATCACATGGTGTACCAGTCCCTTGGACTAATTATTTCCATGCGTCTTTGGTTTCCTCCTCTGCTCTGAACGAGGAGAGACCCATCATTGCATCTAGATGGCCACCTGTAAGGTTTTAAGATCCCAGTCGCTCCTCACCAAAGCAGGATGTGGAACAATGTTCTGTGTGCTGTGTTAGGCCAGTTGAGCTTGATGTCCCCTGCAACCATGGTCCCAAGCCCACACTCGCTCCCTCTGGGGCTGTGGCCAAGAAGTGACTGTAACCTTGTCCCTTGTCAGCTCTACCATACCCCTGGGAATTCTTACAGAACATCGCAATACACTTGTAGAAACAGTGTCTGCCAACCCTATACACGGTCTTGGGTACAATTCCCCCTGCACAGACACACCTCATAGTTCAGCCTGTCCCCTCATCTGTCCACCTGTATATCCGTGTTTGCCTTCACTGACGACGCAGTGCTGTGTGTGCAAAGGATTCATCTTTGTTGTCTGTACCTCCCATGTCCCTCTCTGTCTTCCTCTTCCTCAACATCACTGTGTTGATCACTCACATTTGGTACACTGCCCTTCCCTTCACCCAAATCAATGCTTGTCTCTGCCTATCTAGCAGTGTTCCTTCCCCTCCCTCCTGTAACAAACAAAGTTTCCTTCCATATATAACCTTTCTTTGACTATTTACAATAACAGACTGATAGAATATTTATCCTTCTGTGATCGACTTATTTCACTTAGCATAATGTTTTCCAAGTTCATCCATGTTATGCAGTATTTTGCATATTCTGTGTTACTCTTTAGGGTTGCATAGTATTCCATTGTGTGTATGTACCACGGTTTGGTTATCCATCTTTCTGTTCATGGGCATGTAGGTTATTTCCATCTTTTTGCTGTTGTAAATAGGGCTGCGATGAACATGGGAGTGCATATATCTGTTTTTGTCCTGGCTCTCGCTTCTTTAGGATGTATACCTACTAATGGAATGGCTGGATCAAGTGGTATTTCTAATTCCGGCTTTTTAAGGAATCACCATCCTGCTTTCCACAGTAGTGGTTCCATTTGACAGTCCCACTGTTGGTGCCTTTTACGTGACCTCTTCCATGCTGAGCACAATGTGGTTTGTACTGGCAGCTCCAGGAGCAAAGTGACCCTCTTTTACGTAAAACGAGTCATCCTCCCCTCCTGCCCCCAAAGGTATCCTGAGCTCGCGCCACCAGTGCTCTGGGTTCAAAGAGAGCCGTCATCTCCAGCTAAAAACATTTCTAGGTTGTCCTGGTGTTACCTCAGCCAGCGGACTGTCACCACATGAGAAGCCCTGCCTGGTGTGAGATGCTCCTGTCAGCCCTGAGACAAGTCTCTTGTTCAGGGCCCAGGCCAGGGCTGGGCAGGCTTGACTGTCTTGTGCAGGGACCAGGTCAGGCCAGGGCCAGGCAGACTCAGATCTCTTGTTCAGGGACCAGGCCAGGGCTGGGCAGGCTTGGTTCTTGCCTTTCCCGGGCGGCTTCCCTGCACACCTTCCACGTCTCTGATGTTCGACTTGTGCTGCACTGGGAGCGTGGTGTTGCAGTGCTAACGTGGCACTTGGTTTCCAGCAAACTCCAGACTGACATGAAGACCACAAACCTGGAAGAGATGCGCATCGCCATGGAGACGTACTATGAGGAGGTGTGTACCATCTTCCTGACCTCGGCTGGCAGGGCCTCTCGGGCTGCGCTGTGGGGCGCTGCTCTCCCGGCTCATCCCGGCTGAGTGTTTGCTCCTGCCACTCGCTGGGCGGGAACGGGGACGCAGCTGGTGTGTTCTGGGTGTGGGGCTCGCGGGGAGCCTCCTTGGTGCTCACGACGTGTCTTCTGTGTACTTTAATTTGGTCTTCACAGGTTCACCGTCTACAGATACTCCTGGCAACTTCTGAAGCTGCAGGAAAGAAGTACGCCTGTCTGTGGGGGCGTGCCTCTGTGAGCGCGTCTCTGCCAGCACATTTCCAGGGCATCTTTGTGTTACACGCTACCCCTCTAGCAGTAGCGTGGCCCCCCCCCAGCAGTAGCATGGCCCCCCCTCTAGCAGTAGCGTGGCCCCCCCTCTAGCAGTAGTGTGGCCCCGCCTCGGGCACTGTGGGCTGCAGTGCGCCCGTGCCAGTGCGGGGCTGCAGTTGGGGGTTCTCCGCCGGGTGCGTGCGTCGTCCCAGTGTCATTCCTCGCTGACCCCAGCCCTGCCCCACCTCGGCTGTGTGCACTGCCCAGCAGCTGCCAGCACCAATGAAGGCTGTTGCATGGTCAGTCCCCGAACACGGAAGGCGTTTAATGCCACGGGCGTGTTCGTGAGGACGCTGACAAGGAGGCCTGTCAAGGCGTCCCAAGTTGTAGACTTCGCTCATCCGTTGCCTGGACAGTGTGGTATCAGGCTGCCAGTAGATTGGCGAGGATGACCCCTTCTCAGGTGCCGTCACGTTGCTGGCCTTTGCCGCGGTGGCTGACACTTGGGGAGCCTTGACACTGCCGGGCCCGTTGTCCCTGCTCCCCACTACCCCAGTGGTTTAATCCCAGGCTGGCGGATGTGTGCCGTGAAAGGCCGGGTAGGGATCAGTTCAGAGGTAAGATCAGGGTTAGCATGCACAGAAAGCAAGTTTCACTACGTGTCCGTGACGTGACTTAAATCTCACGGAGCAGTGGGGGTCAGAGAACGGGCCTCTGTCTTGGGGCAGCGGTTTGCTTTCCTGGGGCTCAAAGCCAGGGCTCCCTGCCGCCCCCCAGAGCTCATGGACGTTGACTGAGGTACTCCAGCAACCAGGCCCCGGCCTCTCCATGTCCCCCCAGGCTCCCTGTGGAGAGGAAGACGGGCCTGAAGCGGCAGCAGAAGATGGGCGGGGTCCTCCTGAACCTGTCGCGAAGCATGCAGGAGCTGACCGAGGAGAACCAGAGCCTGAAGGAGGACCTGGACCGGCTGCTCAGCGGCTCCCCCCCCATCTCCAAGATCAAGGGTTAGCCGGGGCCTTCCTGAGCCAGGAGGGGACCCGGGCCAGCTCCACACACAGGCTTCAGGGGGTGGCAGATGGTGACCTCAGTGTGGTCTGGGTGGGCCGTCCAGACGAGGGTGCCACAGGGGAGTCTCACCCATGTGTGTCCACACCTGCTGCTCCCAAAGGTCTGAGTGGGGGTGGTCCAGGCGAGGGTGCCACGGGGTGTCGACACTGGTGCATCTGTGCACATCTGCTCTCGTAGGTCCGAGTGGGGCTGATCCAGGTGAGGGTGCCACAGAGTGTCACACCCTTACATCTGTCCATGCCTGCTGCCCCCGTAAGTCATGGTGGGGCTGGTCCAGGTGAGGGGCCCGCAGGGTGTCACACCCACACGTCTGCCCATGCCATGACCCCGTAGGTCATGGTGGGGCTGGTCCGGGTGAGGGGTCCACAGGGTGTCACACCCACACGTCTGCCTGCTCTGGCCGTCCTGTAGGTCATGGTGGGGCTGGTCCGGGTGAGGGGGCCCCAGGGTGTCACACCCACACGTCTGCCCACTCTGGCCGTCCTGTAGGTTACATGGAATGGAGCAAGCCCAGGCTGCTGAGACACATCACAGAGCTGGAAAAGGTGAGCTGACCCCTCCCGCCTCCTTCCGTGGCTGGGGCCACCATGTTGGGGTATAGGTGGGTGTGGGGGACAGCAGGCTTCAGAGGTTCACCCTGCAGAGCACGTGTCTGGGAAGAGGAGGACTCGTGGACGTGTGAGGGCCCAAACCCACCACACAGGCTTGCTCCCTGGTCAGCCGTGTCGTGTCATAACAGGAAGTGGAGATGGGACGGCACTAACAACCCTGTGTTCCCTCCAGAAAATAAGCTCCTTGGAGAGCCCCAAGTCGCATGCGTTGGAACTGGTGAAGCCAGGCTCCAGGCCTCCCTCCTCCCGCTGCACCGCGCACAGGCAGCCCCCCGCGGACCTCCAGGAGGGACCTGAGCGCCTGCGAGCTGCCCTGAAGGGGTTCAGAGGCGAGCAGGCCGCCCTGTACACGCAGCTGCAGGAGAAGGAGTACGTGCTGGATGCGGGAGGGGACCGCTCCCGTTCCTGCCGGAAAGTGTCGTTTCTAGAACAACATTGTGGTCATGAATTAGGAAAACATGCTGAGCTGCGTGAGCCCCGGTGGCGCAGTGGTTACATGCTTGGCTGCTGACCAAAAGGTCGACAGTTCAAACCCCATCTGCCCCACAAGAGAAAGATGAGGCAGCTGGCTTCCGCAAAGCACAGCCTTGAAGACCCTGTGGGAAGTTCCACTCTGTCCTCTAGGGGCGCTGTGGGTCAGAATGGACTCCATGGCAGTGGGTGTAGTTTGGGCTTTGCTTCTGTGAAGATTGACAGCCTTGGAGACCCTGTGGGGCAGTTCCACTCTGTCCTCTAGGGGCGC